CAGCAATTGATCTGTCTTCATGTTTCTCTAGCTTGCTTAATTCAGCCTGCTTCGCTAGCTTCCTTGACTTGGCATCTTCTGCCCCAAAAGCAACATTTTTTCCTAGGTTGAAGTAAAAATCAGTCAAGTCTTTCTTCTTGGTAACATCATCTTTCTCCTCACGAAGTTGACGCAGTCGTTCTTCCTCCATCCATTTTGCCTGCTCTGCAAGTTTCCTTTTGTAAGCACTTGTAACAAATTTGTCCTTGTCTGCATAGAGGTGATCCTCTTGGGTTCTCTCTTTAGCAAGTTTTCTCTCATATACTATTTCATGCTCTCGGTTTCGTTCTTCTGCTTTTTTCATTAAATACTGAATATATCTTGGCTTTCTCTCTTCACGATCTTGAGCACGAGGTTGGATAGCTTTCTGTTTCATCTCGTCATAAACTCCATCGTAGTCGAACACCGATGGGTCCTGCTCCAGCGCCTTCCTCTGCTGCTCCTCAATATCCTTGAGAGACTTGTTCTTGGAAGCATGGCGAGAAATTTCTTTCTCAACGTCATTGTCATCATCATCGCCAAAACCGAGAGGTTTAGGGAGAGGAGGCCTTGTCGGCTGCTTCTTCTGCTGCGGCCTAAGGTTCAGCCCATACCTACTCATTTTTTTTTTGCCTTTCCTGTGTGATGAGTCGCGTCGGTATGAGTAGGAGGCGCTGCTTCTAAATTCCAATCTACAAAGCAGTTAATTTAGCTTCAATTAATTTAGTAGAAAGTATGTTGGGATTAAAGAGCTGTAAAAGTATACAGAAACCAGGAAAGCATAGTAATCCAAAATTATAAAGTATTCAGATGAGCTTTCCTAACTGCATAAGGATTCTAATTAACTTTCATAGTTGTAAAAGTTCAACTGCATAAGAATTCTAATTAACCTCCTCCTTTTTAATTTTTTTTTTTTTTACTTCATTCACTAATTTTACAAGATTTATAACAACAAAAAACAACTGAAAAAGTAGTAAAAAAACCACATATCACAATTTTTATGCACACCACAAATTATTTC